ACATGTTAATAAGTGAGCTCTAGAGGTGCTGGTAGGTGGACTTTTGGATAGAGTTAGCCAAGCTATTTCCCCTGTCCTTATGCTAAGCTAAGCTTCTCCTCCTGGCTCCCGCTTCATATGGTATGAGAGTGGTATTGAACTTCTCATCTCACTCTCATCAAGAAAGCGAATTTATCTAAAAACAAAAGTATTGTAGTGTTTGGTTTTTCTGTTCTGGGTGACTGTTGAAACATGGAGGATCAACATGGCAGCGTCCGTAAAGGAGGACCTGCTCCCTCTGAAGAAAAAAAATTCTTATTCTAAGGTAACAAAAAAAGACTGATTTTCAGGAGATTATACACTAATGAGAACTAAATATCTGTGATTATTTTATTCCCTATTTATTTCTGTTAATATATCCTCTTAAATGCTACCCACTGGACCTTTAACTGACCTGTGTTCAATTAAATAAATGAAAGTCTCATCTTTGTTCTGCAGCTACCTGTCTGACTAGTGTTTCACTGAAAACACATTAGAGTTTGTGGACTGGAGTCATGACTCTCAATTTAAAAAATAAAACCACTTCAGGAAGCTGTCAGTCATAGCTCTAATGGTGCGACCAAGGAGACAAAGTCATGGCCCATCTATTTTAATCCTCCAGTGGTCATGGTTTGAGAGGGGGTTCTGAAAGTCCTATGACTGCTTCTGTTTTCAATTTCTCTACTGATGCTGAACGTGAGGGAATCAGAGGTCTGGCAGAGATGTAAAACTAATCTTGTGTAATGAAGTAGACCAGTCTTTTTTAGACAGGAAAATAAGTTTTATGGTTATTTCTATGCAGTCTGCACTGTTTTAACAGTGTATTAGACAATTATCTTTTATTTTTTTCACAGAGACTAATCTATCTTGGGAGATGTGAATAACTTTTCTCCAAGAAGAGATTCAAACCAGAATCTGAGTCACAGTTGGGGTGAATTCACTCCTAATTTAATTAGGAAGTGTACTATAGTTTTTGCCATAATAAGGTTCTCGAATAATCATGGCTTTCACTATTGGTAGAAGTATTCAGATCCTTTACTTAAAGCAACAGTTGTTGAAAACTCACCAGTTGACATGTTCAATCTCATTTGTTTAATCTATTCACAAAACCAAGGTAAAATGTAAAATGTTTCAAGTCTTTGTGCTATTAGCTATGTTTAACTGACAGATATTAGAGTGGAATCAACTTTAGATCTTCTCATCAAAGCTTATTTCCTGTTCAGATTAGTTTCTAAGTCAAACTAGTAAGTGAAAGCATCAATTCTGCACTATAAAATACTGAATTAAATGTGAAAGTCCTGCATACAAAAGGATTAGCAGCAGAATGTACTTTAAGGTGCTATTAAAATCACTCATAATGCATAATGGCTCCGTTCATGTTTGAATGAATGTTTTATATCTGCTATATTATTAAATGATTACCTGTTGTCATTTGAATGTGTAGTTCATTGAGTTGAAGCTGTTTTTAACTACTTTATATACTATTGGATGAGATAAGATGACCACATGTGTATGTAAAAATTACAATTTAAAGAACTTACAGTTGCCAAGTAAATGTAGTCGAGCAAGAAGACCAATATTTCCCTCTGAAATGTAGTGGATGAGATTTATAGAGTAGAGGAAAAATACAAGTAGCCTACCTTAAAGTTTAACTTAAGTTCAGTAATTGAGTAAATGTTATTTTCCACCCTGAAGAAACAACAGTAACGAGATGGACTGAGGTCATATGAAGATAGCAATCTAATACACTTGCAAACAAAGTGATGTCAGAAGGGGCAGATGGCCCAATATTGTGCTGTTTCTCTCACATAGCCTGTCAGGTGTTTCATGGTAAGAGAGTTTGTTTTTTCAAGGGGAGGAGTGAGCAAGTGCCCCGCTGCCTGGTCTGGTCTGCCCTGATGGGGTTCTGGCAGTCTGGCAGGATGGTATTTCACACAAAAACAGACTGCTGGTATTTCAGCCCATACCACTTTTAAGGTCACACAAACCAAATTACATGATACTAAGGTCATATATTTTAAAATACATAAATACATGCGGAGAGACGTGAAGAAATACATGTTACATAACATAATTCCAATGTAATTATCCAAATAGGAGCATGAAATTGAGACTTGTGGAGAAAAGTCATGTCCTGAGAGAAAAGGGAGGAAGAAAGAGTGCAAGTGGTGGTGACAGGGTGATTAAACTGGTTTCTCTGCAGCCACAGTGGAAAAAGTTGAGCATGTGGGAACCTCGTTTATGTGTGTGTTTAAGGTGACAGACAGGAGAAAAGTGTGTGTATGTGTTATTCTACAGAACACAAGCCTTAGTATTGATACAGTGACTGAAACGTGTGGGAACGCTCAGAGTGAGACTGTGTTTATGTGCGTCCGCCGCGCTCTGCATTGCTAATATAATATTATAATGTGTAATGGGATATGTGCTAAATCTGGCATCGACATTTGGTTCCTGTGTTAATGAACTGTGCAGTTCTAACTCACAGAGCATCGTAAAGTTACATAAGAACGCAGTCTCAGCTTTCCGGGCCTGGCAAAGACTTTAAGACAACTTCCTTGGAGCAATCTCTCCCCCTAGTGGAGGTTTCAGAAGAAAGTAATCGATAAAAAAAACAATAGCCTTGAAAATAAGGTCTCTAAGAATACAGGTGCTGATACCTGTTTAGATTAGGATTAAAAGTTGTTTTAAATCAGACCTTTAATTCTGAGACTAAACCATGTTGCTTTTAAAGACACAAAGTGGGACTGCTTTATTTCTGTCATAACGTCAACTTTTAAAACTTTGTTCTTTGCCAGTATTAACTTGTGGCACTGTGAACGCTGTCATCTTTCCTTGAACCTCCACAAGATGGAGCCAAACACTACAATATGAAAAACATATATGCCTCCAGGGCAGGATTTGATCCAGTGCTTAGC